AAAGCAATTAGGTGGAGTATTTGGTTGGACTCTTCTTCAACCTTGAAGGATTCTATTTACTCTCCTACATTATAGCCTTAAAGCTTTAGTCCCTTATAGCCAAGAGTTGCTTTTCTGCACCAATAAGCAAAAGCATTACAATATTAATAACCCTTGGCCACGGGTTTAGCTTCCTCACCTTCTTCCCATGCTTGGATGATTTCCTCTGCATTTGAAGCAATCAATAGTGGCCTGAAATTCATTCAGACTCTCACACACTCCATGAGGTTTCCAAAATAAGCCAGTGGCAAGCATTTAATTAGTTCATTTTGTTTCTGCCAGGGCAGAGATGCAGGCTTGAGACTCCAAGAGCTGGTAGACAATATAGCTGTTACTGAAATCTTCATGCCTTGGCAGTAAATAGGATGGGATTCAGAGACTAATGATTCTGCCTCTTCCCACCCTCTCTGTGGCTTTTGACATGTTTCTTTGCCAAGCTGAACCCATGTCTTCCTTTGCGTAAAGAGAGGAAGGTGCCACCAGTTTTTGAGGGTAGTTTCTTCCGGCAGTAGAGTTCGTTGTAAGTACCGGTCACCATGCTGGTGCTGAGGATAAAAGATGCATAAGACACCGTCAAATGGGGAAAAGGGGAGACAGGCATTAAGACAAGTTTTTCCCCCTGCTGGGGACGGGCTCTGCTAGAAATGAGTGGAGGGTGCAGTGGGGGTGTCTGCAGAGCCGTCCCTGGGACCACTCTAGGCCGAAGACACAAGAGCTGCAGAGGCTTTTGCTTTTCCAGTGGTCTTTGTAGCAGGGGAAGATTTATTTTCTCCCCAGGTCCAGGCAGCAATATTTATTTCCACACCCCACAAAGCCTCTGAAAAAAGGAAGTATCTCTTAGAATGTTTATGTCAGACTTTTGGCTGATAGTCATCAGTGGTTTTAAAGTCACGGCATTTCCCTCAAGACGAGCCAGTAATGAATCTCATGCACACACAGGACAAGGCTGCACTAAGTGCCAGGTGGATGAGACAGCTGACAGTAGATGGCCCAAGAAGGCCTCCAGCTATGGACGGGCAGGGAAGCCCAGCAGGGTATTTACAGGCTGATGGTGAGAAGAGTTCCTGGTTTGTTGTGTTGGTTCATAATGGCTACAGAGCTGCTGCGATCCTGGGGTCAGCCCCCACCATTTGCATGTCTCCTGTGTGGGACTCTAAGCAGGTTTTCTGCTGTGGAAAAGCCTCACACAGGCCATAGGGCTCTGTTCCTGCATCTAGTCCCACTTCCTCACCTTCTTTTTCGTTCATTTAGGCTTCCCCTTGATCCAGAAGAGTGGAGGCAATTACATAAACGCATATAGAATAAAAAGAAACTTAAGGGGTTCTGCTGAAGTGTGTATGCATGCTGATCCTCCAATAATATTCCTGGGAATTTATCTCAAGGATAATAATTGAAATATGCTCAGAAATGTATCTTTATTTTTCATATACTTGTGATTTCCCCTCTCTGCCTTTTTTAATGTGAAATGTCTTCATTCAGAGAGTGTAAAAAATGTACACGTGCTGTTGAAAGAATAATAGTGAAGCAATCCCTTGTGTATCTGCAACTCAGGTTAAGATAAAGAGCACTGACAGTGTTTTAGAGGCAATCTTTGGGCCCTTCTACAACAATTTCACCCCTTAAAAATATATCCCTAAATAGGGGCACCTGGGTGGCTCAGTTGGTTAAGCATCCGACTTTAGCTCACATGATCTCACAGTTGTGAGTTTGAGCCCCGCGTCGGGCTCTGTGCTGACAGCTGGGAGCCTGGAGCCTACTTCAGACTCTGTGTCTCCCGCTCTCTCTACCCCTCCCCTGCTCATGCTCTGTGTCTGTCTCTCAATAATAAACAAACGTTAAAAATTTTTCTAAAAAAATATATCCCTAAATAATATATAATATTGTTTTGCCTTGTTTGAATTCTGTGATTGACTTCTCATTCTAAGTATCATGTTATTAAGACTTTTAAAATATTGGTGCATATAACTAAATTTCATTTATTTTCTCTGCTCTATAGTATTCCAATATTTGAATAAACCACAATTTATTTACCCAGTCGACTGCTAATAGATATGTGAGTCGTTTCCAGTTTTTGGTCTTCTAAGCCATGCAGCTATTGATGTTCTTATACATTTACAATATTGCACGTGTATGAGAGATTCCCTAGGGCATATACTTAGGCGTGAGATTATTGGGCTGTAGGGCACACGGTCAGCTTTACTAGTTGAGAAGAGACGAGGGTGATTGATAAATGCCCCTGAGGGTTTGGGTTGCCCAGAAGATCCCCCTTAACTCAGAGGAAGGAGCTGTGCCCCCACCCAATTTCCCACAAGATCATGGGGTGCCAGCAGCTGTATTGCCAGACAGGTTTCTGAACAGCTGGCATCTAAAATTCTGCTTGCTTGATACCGGTCAAATCCCGTCCCTACCCCTCACCCACCCATTAGCAAGACCATTCTCATGGGGTCCTGCCTCTGGAGCAGAGCCCCCTGGTGCATCCAGCAATGCTCTGGCCCTTCACACTTTGCAGGAGGCTGAACTAATGGTGAACCATCATCCTGTTTTGCTGACCCTCTGCTTTAACTCTTCCCAACGAAACCAGTTCTGTGCCTGCATATAATGACCTTGTGGTGTTTGACTTCACCACCGTTCCATACTAGGTAATGTCAAACTGTCTTCCAAAGTGACTCCTCCAATTTCCTTCTCACCTGCAGTGGGTGAGGAATCCTTTTGCTCCCCATCCTCACCAATGCCTGTAATTGGGCATTTTAAATTCAAAGACTTTTACACTTTTGTCAATCTTGTGGCTATAAAATTGTCACTCATTGTGGTTTAATTAATATTTCCTTGATCACTAATGAAATTGAGCATCCTTTCATTTGTTTATTGGTTGTTCAGGTTTTCTCTTGTGAAAGTACCTATTTGAAGCTCTTTTCTGATTTGCTTTTTAAAAAATTGATTCATAGGAGTTTATTATATATTCTGGTTATGATCGCTGGTTATGATTCCCTTCTCTCTCATATTACGATGTCTTTTCTTCTTTATTATGGAATCTTTTGTAAATGAAGTTCTTAATTTTGATGCAGTCAAATTTATTGAGTTTTTGCTTTATTTTATGGTTTGTGCTTTTGGTCTTATTTACAAACTCCTTTTCTATCCATGGATAATTAAAGTATTCTCCTAAATTTTCACCTAGAAGTTTTATATTTTACCACTTGCTTTTGGGACTTTAATCCTGGCGTTGATATTTGTGTGTGCTAGGAGTCTAATTTTCCATTTTTTCATTAGGAATATTGTCCTAGCACCATTTCCTGAAAAGTCCGTTTTTTTTTCTTAATTTACAGGGCGAACTATATCAGACATCAAATATCCATATGTGTATGGGATCATTTTTGGATTCATTATTTCGTTCTATCTTTCCACTTGTCTGTTCCTGCACAAATATTATACTGTTCCAAAGTCTATAGTTTATAAAAAGTCTTAATATCTAGTAGAACAAGTTACCTCACCCTGTCCTTTATCAGTAGGATTTGTCTCTTTTGGTTGGGTATTTCTGTATAAATTTTAGAATCAGGGTGTGAAATTCCACAGACAAGTAAAAGGTTGGGATTTTGAGTGAGATGACCTCAATTTGGTAAAAACTGACATCTTTAAATTATTGTTTTTAATACATGAACTTGATATATTTCTTCTTTTATATAGTTTTTTTAAAAGTCTTTTCCTAAGATTTATAATTTTCTCCACAAAGATCTTTTTAAAGCATTATTGAGAATGGTATCTCTTTTCTCTTTTTTCTTTTTCTGCCTCTTATTTTTTTTCTTTTTCAAGTTTCTATTTAAATTCCAGTTAGTTAACATAAAGTGTGAGAGAATGATGTCTCTTAACATTTTTGTACTTATTGGTTTTTGTTGATATGTAGAATGCATTTGATTTTTGCATGCTGATTCTTATTAATTCTGGTAATTTACCTGTAGAGTTTTTATTTTCTGCATGTGCACTCATATCATAACTAAGTAATGATTGTTTTATTTCTTCTTTATCTTGCCTTTCTCTGTTGGCAAGAGACAGCTCAGTGTTGAATAGAAAAGGAGACAATAGGAACCCTTGTCATGTTCCTGATCTTAAAGGGAATGTTTTCAACATTGCACCATTAATATGTTTTTTGCTGTAGGTTAATCTTTTTTTTTTATTAATTTTTTTTAACGTTTATTTATTTTTGAGACAGAGAGAGACAGAGCATGAGCAGGGGAGGGTCAGAGAGAGAGGGAGACACAGAATCTGAAACGGGCTCTAGGCTCTGAGCTGTCAGCACAGAGCCCGACGCAGGGCTCGAACTCACGGACCGTGAGATCATGACCTGAGCCGAAGTCGGCCGCCTAACCGACTGGGCCACCCAGGTGCCCCCCCCCTTTTTTTTTTTTTATTAATAGAAGGGGAGAAACTTTTCTTTGATTCCTAATTAGTTAAAAATTTAAAACTATGAATAGAAGCTATATTTTATTATATACTTTTTTCCCTGCATGAATTCAAGTGATTATATTATTAATTTGTTAATATGATGACTTTCCTTATTCACATATTTCTAATGATAAGCCATCTTTCTATTCCTGAGATACATTCGATCTGATTATGATTAAAAGAAAATTTTTTTTTTTGTTTTAGAGAGAGAGAGTGGGGTAGAGGGGCAGAGCTAGAGAGAGAGAGAGAGAGAGAAAGAGAGAGAGAGAATCTTAAGCAGGCTCCATGCTGAGCATGGGGCACAGCATGATCTCATGCAGGGCTTGATCCCACAACCTTGGGATCATGACCTGAGCCAAATTCAATAGTTGGATGCTCAACCAACTGAGCCACCCAGGAGCCCCTGATTATGGTTTTTAAAAAATATGTTGCTTAAATGAGTTCTTTAATGTTTTTAGCATTTTTGCATCTATGACCATGATAAGTCTGGCTTGTAATGTTCCTTTCCTTAATGTTCTTGATAGGTGTTCATATCAAGCACACGTGATTTTTATAAGTGGATATGGATAATGAGACAAAGGAAAAATGTAAGTAATAAATAAAAGATAAAAGTTAGCATTTAGGTTGTAATGCAACATTTATGCCATAAGATCTCTTACATGGCTAGGAATTTGGGTCTAAAATTCCTAGCAATGAATTAAAGTTAATTTCATGATTCACAAAAATCAATGAGTTAAAACAAAACTGGCTATTCAGGAGCAGAACAAGTTTTCCAAGGGGCAGTAAAGGGTGGTGGTTTGGAGACTATTCCTTGGAGCTGGACTGAGTTCTAATCCTGTCTCTAGAACTTACTAGCTATGTCATTTGAACAAGTTGCTTAATTGCTTTGTATTTCAGTTTAGTCACCTGCCAAAGAAAGATAATTATGTTATCTACTCAAAGAAGTGTTTCACAGATTAAATGAATTAATACATATAAAGTCCTTTGAAAATTAATCAGTTCTTGGTAGCACTCAATGAACATTAACATTTTATTATCATTTCTGGTACCGAGACCAGAAAGAAAATTTCTCCTTGAATTCCTTTTGAGAGAATACCTTTTAATGAAAACGACAATGACCCTAACAAAATCCTTATAGGATTATTATTATTACTACTATTATTACCTAATCATTTTGAGGAGTTTGATATCCTTCAGGCAAACTTTCATAAGTAATGCTTTTCCAGTTGGGTTTCTGATGACGGCAGTGGGTATGAGGTGCTACTCTATGAGTAGTACCTGGAATACAGCCATATGCTTACCTATTTTTTGAAACTAGAGGAAGATAAATAGGACCACCTTGCTTCCAGGTGGGCCAAGAAGTACTTAAAGACATGGCCAGGTATCTTTCCCTGACTAGTTTTGGGTAGGGAACAGTGCACAGTCAAAAGGGTGGTCAGTATTCCATTGGCTGCACTAATTTTAGTTTGGGAAAAATTAAATCAACTATTGCAAACTATCACTTTGGCAATAAGTTGGTTATTTAAAAATGTCACTATATAGGTACCTAAATGAGTTAACTTATGTACTAGATAATTGACTATACCGAATTCCAGTCAAATAATCACAACTAATGATTACATGGAGTTTCCTATGTGCTGTATTGTTCTAAGTACTTCACATAATCTAACATTTTTTAGACTTCACAACAATCACGTGAGGCAGGTACTGGTACCATCATCATCTTACGGATGAGTCACATGACCAGTAAGTGGCAGAGGTGGGATTCAAACCCAGGTACATTGGCTCCTGAATCCAAATGTAAGTGAGATGCCTACCCAAAACGATAACTTTGTTTTAGAATAATTGACTTGTAGATAGACTTCCTTTTTTTTTTTTTTAATGTTTTATTTATTTTTGAGAAAGAGAGACAGAGCATGAGCAGGAGAGGGGCAGAGAGAGGGAGGGAGACACACAACCTAAAACAGGCTCCAAGCTCTGATCCATCAGCACAGAGCCCGATGTGAGGCTCGAACTCAGGACCAGTGAGATCATGAAGTTGGACGCTAACCAACTGACCCACTCAGGTGCCCTGATAGCCTTTTTATGGCAGTCATTTTATAGCAGGCCACTATATTCTAAATGATGAAAGGATAGGATCTGTGTGTGAGAGTGTTTTTCTTTCTCTGTACCATGACAAGGCACATATCCAGCCCAGGCAAGAATGGTATATATGTATATATACATATACATAAGTAGAAAGCAAAATAAAAACAAGTAGAAAATAGTAAAAACATCTTTTATACAATTTCCACCTGATCAGTTATAGATCCTAGCTCTGACAGTGGATTAAGGAAAAGGTTCTCGTTAAGCATCAATAATGAGGGTCAATAGTATATTGACCTTGTGATGTCCATTACAGTCAATGCTCATCTACTGAAATGTAAAGAAGAGATCTAAAAAGAGCACACACAATCTTGTGTAATTCTGAAGATATTTCTTTACAAGTTAATACAGAGTTTGTCAATGATCAGTAGTGGAATAACTATGCCTATGGGCCACCACTCCTGAATAAAATATTGGCTCACTGGACCTAAACTTGCAATTCATCAAGAAGGAAACAGGCATGCTGCTATCTGTGGAGTCCTTTTCTGTGGTCACAACCTGCAGCTCTCTTTAGCTGGGTCCTTTCAGCAGACAAGTTCTCTGTGACATTGGCTTTTAGATATTGCAGAAGTATCACATGTAGCTGCAGCTAACAGGAAGTGATAGTTGTGTGATTGAGTGTGAGAAGAAACTGGAGAGTAGTAGAAAGCCTGGTGGCATTTCTTGCTTCTCTGCATTTTTTGGCAGCTAGGATTAGGTTAGTTCTGCTGCAAAGTGGGATCCTTCCAGTGGTCATTGCCCATGTGACTTTTCAGGGTTTCAGCAGTGATGCTCAAGGAAATGGCCTCCTCCTTGATCTTGAGACATTGTGCCTAGAGGACACCACCACTTTGGGTGACTGCTTTTGGGAACTGCCGTTGCTAACACTCTAATTCTATAATATGGGAATAGTATAGTTGCCCTTTTAAAAGCTGTGATAGAGTTCACAATGGTTTTAGCTGGGTGGTAGAATATTTGTGGAGCTAATAAAGATGTGCAAATAGAGACCTGAGCATACCCTTTTAAGCAGTTCTTTAATAATTGTAGGGGCAGGAAGTCTCCTCAGGTGCTTTATTTGGTCAGATTTCTTCATAGAAATCAGTTGTTCAATACAAGGAGCATGACCTAGATCCAGAAGAAAGCAGCCTAGAATCTACAAAGTTTATCAAGCTCAGCAGTTGAGCAAAACCCAGATTTCTAAGACCTCATTCATCAAAGTCACTGCTGTGATGACAATTTCCCAGAATCTGCCTTCATTTCCACATCTAATGGTTAAACTCTGATTTTATCACATAGGTTAATCATAAAGTATTTTTACTTAAAAATTTTTTTTTAAAATGTTTATTTATTTTGAGACAGGAGGGGTGGGGTCAGAGTGAGAGGGAGACACAGAATCTGAAGCAGGCTCCAGGCTTTGAGCTGTCAGCCCAGAGCCCAACACAGGGCTCGAACTCATGAACCTCAAGATCATGACCTGAGCCAAAGTCAGACGCTTAACTGACTGAGCCACCCAGGCATCCCAATCATAAAGTATTTTTTAATCTGATGCTTTCATAATGTTTAAAATTTTAAAACTCCCAGATAATTCCTCTGATTAGCATGATGTAAGTTTTAGTTTCATATTGTTTTGGTTTTCCGGTCAAGCAGTCTCCAGCTCTTTTTAGTTATTCTGCAATGGGCACTGGAAGTGAAAGTCCTATGTGGTTGAGACCCAGTGTGAATGAGGCAGGTTTTAAGTGATTAGCAACCAATTGGGAGGAAGGGAGCAAAGAAATGTATTTCTCCAGGCATTGAGGCAAAGTTCTGAAAAGTCATAGGATGGCATCAGACCACCAGTAGAAATTAAAAGTACCTCAACTCACTTGTCATCCCCAGACTTCTGAACCAGCCCAGAAAAAACATGAGTGCAGACCTGACTTCAGGTTGGATATACTTAGACTTAAAACTTAGGCTCTTAGCTAAAACTTAGCCAAAAATTGGCTCTTTCTCCCTGTCCTAAGCTAACTCTAAGGATTATAATAAGTAAGCAAGACCTGACTCTAATACAATACTTGGTTCTAACCTTTGGGAAAGACATACAGTAAAATTTTTCTTTAATTTTTTTCTATAAGCTATTGCTTAGTACTACAATTCTATTCATAATGAATTTTAGTGAGTCTCTAAAGGAACATCCTCACACCACAGGAAATTAACCCATTCATTACTAAATGATTCCTAGCAGAATCTCATTGCATTCACCGCAAATTCCGATCTACAGAGTCTTAGAAACAACCAACTCTGCCATGAAAAATACAGAACAATTTGAGATTTAAACAACATAACAAAAAGATTATACGGGGAGCAAAACAATGAGAACTTGGGAGGTAGGTAAGGTGAGTGGGGGAAAGATGTCAAGACATATCATGTCCAGTTTCCAAAGGAATTAATGAGGACTGGAAAGAAGAGGTTCCAGCCACTTGAGCAGCAGAGCTCAGAAGTAGCCTAGGGGTAAAAAGAAAGAGAATCTCACTCATTTTGAATGTTACAGAAGTGTTATTGTTTTCTTCCCATATGTCATATCAGGAGGTTCATGGTTTGAGTTGGTATTTTCCAAATGTCTCTGTTGTAAATTTACTATTTTTTCCACTTGTAATTAATAAGTATTATGTACGGAGCCATATTTCAAGGCTATATATATCTTGTTCCTCTTTTCTCCTCCAACTGTCCTTCACCTTTTAAGCTGCTATTGTAGGGGTTTTGGTGTCTTAAAAGGGAGGTTTTTTACAAAGATATTAGAACCCATTTTAAAAAACCAACACATTCAATTCCTTACCTTTGCCACACTGCTGTGTTTCTAGAAGAAGACTCTTTACTCTTTAAGGGGTAAACACCAGGGACCTTAGGAAGCCCAAAGGAAAGCAACTAAAGACATAGACTATCTCACCTGTTAAACTTTTTCCTCAGCTGACCTGGCTTGCCCCATACCTTGCAAGTCAAGCTCATCCAGTCCAAGGTGGGGCACCAGCCAATTCCTGGAATTAGGGAACGCTTCAGATTATCTGGGTCAGGTCACTGGTACCAGGGTGGGACTTGGTGCTGAGTAATTTATACAGGGAGTCAAGAATTTCCCTGAAGAGTATGGTGTCTCACAGCAGTGGGTTTGGCTAGCCTGAGGGTCTCATTCTTCAGTCAAAACAGAACCAAGGGGAAAAACATTTTCTGAAACTGGGTGTGAGTGATGGTACAATGACCCTCAATGGAATCCTATAAAAGGATCTAACAAGAGATGTGGGGCAGAAAGTTACCTTGTTACTAAAGCCAATTTCTGAAGTTTGACTGACTTGTCCTTCAGGAATCATCTATTCCATAACATCTTTTTTCTCTTGAAGAAGCCAGATGGTGGATCTGAGACAGCCTACCTCAGCCACTATCTTGTAACTGGGAAGTGTCCCAGAGATGATATTGACCTGTGATCTGGATTGAA